TTGTGCGTTAGAACTAAATTCCGATAAACGTGAGCGCAATTGTCGGTGTCCGTTTTATAGTTCATCGTTTTGTGATTAGGGGTGTTCATAATATGTAACATCTCTAAAAAATAGCGTTTATTATAGATTTTTTCTTCTTGCAAGATTGCTACTTTATCAAAGTCGGGATAGTGTCCCGTATCCTGGCAATGAGATGACAAGGCTGTCTTATTGTCCTCCGAATTATTCCTCAACTTAATGTTTGATTTGTGAGCGGAAATCCTTGTCTTTAATTTCGATTTTGTTGTCCCCACATATACCATATCGCATACGTGGGACGCGTCGCCACTGCATGGTATTCTATAAATTACATCAGACTTCTCATTTATTGGAATTTTATCTTTGGTATTTGAGTAAACTTGTTTCAGCGTATTGTCATAAGTAAACGCTATGCGGAAATTGTCCTTGTCATATATTTTTGAGTATTTAATTCTCTCAGATAATCCTGGTACATATGTTGCCGATTTATACATTTGATTGTTCCCGTCACTATATGATTTCTTTTTACCGGTCTGGACATAGAAGTCGCGGATAAGCTTATTAATTAAGCAATGTGGAAATTCATTTTTCTGCAGGATATCTTTGATAGTGGCAATGTTCTTCTTATGATAATTTTCGTCACTTATCGTGAGGACTCTTGTTATAAAATTTTTGGCGGTATTTCGAATTATTTTCTTCTCATGTCTCGAGTTAAAATTAATGAGCCTCCCTGATGCTGTAGGTTTCTTATACCAGTCAACTGTTAATTTGTTGTTTTTCCTTATTATTAGGGTGTCCAGGTAGGGTAATTGTCCATCTTTTTCTATTTCTAATGCAAATTTTATTTTCTTGTTGTAATTGTTTAGTGTGTTGAGCATCTTGTCAATATTTTCTGTTTTAGCAATTGCAAAGATGTCGTCGACATATTTAGTTAGTAATCGGGGTTTGCTTTCGGCGTCATTTTCAAATTTGATTAATAATTCCTCCATTACTATGTCTGCGATAACCGGTGAAGCGGGGGAACCCATAGGCATTCCTGACTTTTGCTCGTAAATCTTGTCGTTATATTTGAAATAGCGATTCTCTTTAATGCAAAATTTCAATATGGTTAAGAAAAGGTCTTTGGTTAGAGTTGTGTGTTCTTGTATTGAACTCCACTTGGAATCTATTATCTCTATGGCTAAATCCACGGGTATGCTTGGAAAAAGCGAGACGACATCAAACGACACAAGACTTTCATCGTCGTAAATATATGTTTTTCCGATCTTTTCTTTAAACTCGACTGCGTCTTTCACATTAAACTTGGAGGACATTGTTACATTTTTGAGCACGCGGATAACATATTTACATAGGTTATAGGACGGATTCCTTCTTTGTGAATTTTAGGCAGACCGTAAATTCTAGGGGGATGGGCCGTTTTGCAAGTTAGGTTATTCCTTTCTTTTAAATCAATCACTTTGTTTGTGTACATTTTCTCTACAATTTCGTTATTTTTAGCTCGTAATTTATTCGTGGGATCACGTTTCAAAACCCTGTATGTCGAAATATCATTGACTATTTTCTGCATCTTTATATCGTATTCCGATTTTTCCATCATTACAGTTACGTTTCCTTTGTCCGCATTGAGAATTAAAAGTTGGTCATTGTTTTTTAGGAACGTCTTAGTAGAATGTAGGGTATCACGAATAAATCTATCTCTAATGGTGATTGTCATTTTATTCAGGTGGTCTCCTATTAATGTCGTCAGATTATTTATTTCTATTTCCTGATTTTCTTTATCTTTAATCGTCTGTTTGCAGCTTTCCCCATCTGCAATAATTTTAAAAAGTGGAAAATCTGTCTTGGTCATTGGTAAGGCAAATTTAGGTCCTAAGGATAAGAGCCATTGAACGTCATTTGGAATTTGTGAAGTTGTTGTGTTTTGAAACCATTCTGGTACAGCCCTAATGTTAAGTAGTTGTTTTTGTTTGTCCCTTAGCTTTTCATACTTTTTGGTTTGTCTTTTCTTAATATTTGTCGTGAGAGTGTTGATTATTTTGTTTTCACTTTCGAAAAACGCATTTGAATCGCGCATGCTTAGTTGTAGTTCAATCTGGGCTTTTAGTGTGTTTACCTCTTTTTTCTTTCGTCGAAGTATTTCGTGTTTTATGTTGATAAGTAGATTCACTAATTTACTTTGGACTTTCTGGACATATGCAGACACTGAATTGTTGATATGTGTTGACATCTTGTTGTTGCTGGTGTTGTTGCTAATGATGTAGGCAATATTTTTAGTGGCATCGTTGATAAAATCTGGTTTTAAGCCGCTTCTTCTGCACTTTTCCAAGAATTTGGTAGATTCTGCTGTTTTTGTGATTTGCTGTGTGATATTTTGGTAGCGTTTGATGTGTTTCCTCGTCTTGATGTTATAGTTGTTTTTTATGTTAGTGTAAACATTTGACTTGATTTTATATTCTCGGTGTGCTCTCCGATTTGATAAAGTAGCAATCTTGCAAGAAGAAAAAATCTATAATAAACGCTATTTTTTAGAGATGCTACATATTATGAACACCCCTAATCACAAAAGGATGAACTATAAAACGGACACCGACAATTGCGCTCACGTTTATCGGAATTTAGTTCTAACGCACAACAACAAACCTACAGTAGGTGTCGTGTGATCGTGTGTTCATGTTTAACTCATCGTCCGTCTGCTGCCAAGATTTCTTCGGACAACAACATTGCTCTGCTGAGATGACATACAAACATTTCTTTGTCTTACTGTTCAGCGCTTTATGTATTGTTGTTTGTATAAAATTTTTGTTTACAATTACTGTATTTTAATTATTAGTTTTCCTGTTTATGTTTAATATCTTCTTCGTGCTTGTTTGTTATTTTACATTTTAACATATGATTAGTCGACCGGACAAAGCTAATAGTGTAAGTCGTTTTAATGCACTTGTGCATATGTATGTTTTTGTTGGTTTATATTGTGATGTAAAAATATTGTTTTCCTTTTTTTAGTCCTGAAGATGCCTTCAGACTGAAGGCGAAATATCGACCAAAATAAAAATAAAAAGTAAATAAAACATAAAAACATTTAATGTTTTATTTAACATACGGCCTATAGCTCAAAAATAATTATTAAATAGGTTTTAAATTTGTTTATAACCAAGAAACATACATACGTCAAAAACCGATAATAGAAATGTTTAACTTTAGACATAGCTTTATTTTTAATCCAACCTTTAAATATAAAGTGAGCTTTAAAGTTACCGGTTACTTGAAAAATTTCAGCGAACTTTGTGAAGAATCTTAACCAATAACTTTAAAGCTCACTTTATATTTAAAGGTTGCATTAAAATTTATGGATACTCTAAAAGTATCAGGGAAAAAGTATCGATACTACTCAGTATCGGACTCATTAAAATACGTTTTTTTGGAAGACTAAAATTATTTTAATCTTCAATCGTATATCTAGTTATTTCCTGAAATTAAAAAAATACAAATTTAAAATATTTGATTTTTATTTAATTTCAGAACTTACTTTCACGTTAGAAGTAATTTTAACGTTAAATGTACATACATACATACATATATATATATATACTTTCACGAATTTAAAATTTTATTAAGAATTTTTGTAAACTTTTTATTATTTGGGTATGCATTTTTGCAGCCTATTCAATTTTAGTATAATAATGTGCAAGTTTGAAATAAAAGTTAACAGTAGTAGGCTACACGTAAAGTTGAATAGGTTACAAAACTGCATACCCAAAAAGTTTATAAAAATTCTGCATTTTCGTGAACTTTGCGTAAAGTTTTATGGCCTTATTCATAAAAATAAAAAAAGGTTTATAAACTGAAAAATGTATGAAAATGTCATTTTATTAAGCTCTTTAAACCTACCTTATTTTTTATGAATAATGCCATTAAACTTAAATTATTTTGTTTATGTTATGCAACAGACTACACGAAATTTCAGTTTACCTTAAGTGATGGACAAAATTGAATGATAGTAATCCATATAAGCAAAGAAAATTGGGTTGCCAATGGAAGAAAAAATTTAAAA